ATCAGCCCAGCAGTGACATCACAGGCAGCACTGGGGAGTGATGTCACGAGTGCCCTGCCCCAGTGATGGGAAGGCTGGAGGCCTCCCCGGATCCCCGTCGCGTGGGGGCCAGAAGGGGTTAACTAAACAGGTGGAAAAGCAGCGTGGCCCCTTTAAATCCCCCAGTGCCCCCCAGTGGGCGGGGCCCGTGTGAAGCCCTGCCCCTTCACAGGTATATAAGGGCCCTGTCATGGTAGGGCCCACAGCAATAGCAGCCGGGCTGCGCCACGTACCAGCCCTCAGTCACCGGTGCCCACAAGGTGCCCGGGCGGCTGGGCCCTGGCGTGGTGCCCACGGCCGCGGTGGGAGCTGCTCTCCGGTTACCGGAGGCTGCATCGATCTCTCTGCAGCAGGAGCCGCCGCCAAGGTCGGCCTGACCCTGTCCCCGCGCCGGGGCCGTTTGCACACGTGTGCACGTGCAAGCATGTGCCTGGGCAGCGCCAGGCATCCTGGGGCAGCTCCAGCCCGCAGGGCTCACGGGAACTCCTGCTGCTTGAGCATGTGCAGGCATGTGCGAGGAGGCATGTGCACACACGGGAACAGGCGGGTGCGGGTGTGCACGCAGCGGCGAGCCCTGCATGTATCTGGGGGCAGGCCTGAGCGGGGGTGATGGTGTGTGCCAGCTCCAAGTGCCCCCCCATTGCCACATGGGGGCACCCACCAAGGGGCTGGGCCTCACCATGGGTAGCCCCCAGTCTGCACCAGTCTGAACTGGGAGACCCCTCCCCCAGCACAGTGGCCCCCTCCCGGGCCCAGCCAGGCCACAGGCTGCGAGCACCAGTCACCGGTGCTGGGGGACACGGCAGGGACATGCAGGGACCACAACCCTACCTGAGCCCATGGCGCTGAGCCTGGAGGTCAGAGGTCATGCGGAATCCCAGTGGAGGGCAGAGGTTGTGCAGAGCTGCAGGGGCACACGGGGGCGGCAGTAGGTGGGGGGACCCAGCGCGGGGTCTTGGGGCGGCGCGGTGTGGCGTGGAGGGGGTGGGCAGGCGCGGGCGCTGTGCTGAGCCAGCAGGCGCTGGCTGGCAGCTGGGCCCGGTGTTGGCTTTCACCCGCTGGGCCCAGCCCGGCCCTTGGGGCCTGGGTGGGGGGCATCCAGGACCATTCCCTCTTCCCCCCCTCCCTCAGGGCATGCAGGGGAGTTTCTGGGGGGCTGTCCTGATGTACACACCCAGCCCGCTCCACACCATGCACACGTGCAAGCCCACACGCGTGTACACACACACTCTCCCTGTACTTCCCCTGCTGCATTGGGGCACACAGCTGGACCCACAGGACATGTATGCACACCCCTGGCCTGAGACCATGCCCTGTGCGCACACATACCCATGTGTGTACATACCCAATGGGCACACGTGTGTGTGCACAGTCGCCCCCTCCCCCACCCCTTTGTGCACATGGCCCTCCTGACATGACACAGCTGTGCACACCCACCCTGGGTGCTCGACAGTGCACCGGCACACGTGTGGGTGCACACACGCCTCATCACAGGAGATTCTTTTGACACATTTAATAACCCCACACTGCAATGCGCCTCCCTGAGGCAGGAAAGGGGTGCCCCCCCCAGCGTGCCCTCCCATTGCCCCCACCCGGGGCAAAGCCCTTTGCCCCCCCACCCTCCCTTCCTCAAACCCACAGCAATTAAATACAAAGCAAGG